TTATTACATTACATAATGCGTTGTTATTACAAAATGAGGTCTTACAAGCCCTAATTACTACTGCACATGGACAGAAAGGCAGACGTGACAGTGGAAGGTGTCACAGCAGTTTGGAGAGAAAAACAAAGTTAGAAAAAAAAATAGACGCATCAACTATTAAATTAGTCAACGGTTTTAATAGTCAACAATAATCGTGGCAGCCCTAGTTCTCACGTACCTTCAAGATGTCTACATGWGTCTTCAACATGCAGATTTTTGGTCCAAGAGACTCTGCCAGCTGCAGCAGCTCCTCGCTGCAGGTCATATCAGCCGACACGCAGAGGTTCGACTCTTTCTCCTCCATGATCTTCAGCAGCTTGGATGCTAGGGGGTGAATGTCTGAAAACAAAATTTTGCTTTAGCATGCCAAACCGGTTAGGACATTTGAGAAAAAAATTTAAATAAAAGCATCATCTACTTGGCAACTCGGCTCTGACTGCGTAGCTGAGCTCTTGCTTTGTTTCCCTACATGGCTTCTTGGYAGCTGGAACGTTACTGCCGTTTTCCTTCTTAGAGCTTACAGATTAAAAAAAAAAAGTTAGAGCACATTTTTTATAAGCATTTTATCAGCATGTTTCTTCCAAAGTACACAACCTGAAAGTGTTATTATCGAGGATGAACTTGCGAACGCTCTGGGCGGTTTGGGCRTCGACGCGCCCGGCTGCAAGCAGCACATCGAGCAGCCTGAACATGGAGATGACAGGGAAGAGCCTGATTCCCCGAGAGGCCAGCATCTCCACACCGCCTTGYTCTCTATCCATCAGAACAATGGCATCTGTCACCTTAAACAAATAAACAAACTGCACTATACCACCTGAAGGAAATATCTCAAAGTTGTTGCAGGATCGTGTCGTTTTACTTGAACTATTATAAACACTTCTATACCTTCAGTCCTTCTTTTTGGAGGACCTCTGCTGTCTCCAGGATGCTGCTGCCACTGGTTACTGTGTCCTCGATGATTAAACACGCATCACCCTCGTGAAACGTCCCCTCCACCAGCCGCTTGGTTCCTAGCACGACAAAGTGGTTGTCAGCCTCAGCGGGAGACTAACTGCGAAAAAAATAAAAAAAATTTCAGCAGACGCGAAGCAGTCAGTTCAGACTGATTTACCATAATCTTTGGCTTCTTTTCTCCTGATGAGCATGGGGACTTCCTGTCTTGAGCAGATGATCGTGGCCAAGGGGAGGGCCGTGTAGGGAACCCCACACACCAAATCAAACTGAAGGCTCTCCTCTTGCACTCGCTGGTAGATGAGACTTGACACCTGCAAACAAAAACAGAAAAAGTGTTTCCCCATAACAATTTTTTTTTAATTCTGAGGGAGCCGCAGTACTAGATGCCCAGTTCACTTATAGAAAACCTATCTTTTAAAATGAGCGATCTGGATTGTACTACTTAAAAATTAAAACACCAAAACCATCTTTAACTTGTTTAATTTTATTAGCATGTATTAGAC